AAACATGATTGTACCTGCTAGCCTAGTCCACACTTCTATGAGTAAAGGGTATGTACCATGGGTCTGTCCACATGACTGGAAATCCTGGTGATGCAGGATTCATGATTATGCAGGAAGAGCCTATGCATACAAGGTCTGTTTACAAGTTATTCCAAATACGTGGAAAGGCAGGGACTGCAGGCATGACACCATCACCGCACCCCAACATATCTTCTGAGCAGCAATTGTATGAAGTGCTCCTTATTTTTATATATTTTAGCAGGGGAGTGAATAACACTGTGAATGCAAGCTCCATCATTCTTCATATCCCTTTAACAAATATTCTTCAAAATCGTATTTCCTAATAACCTTTGATATTTCACCTGCAAACCTTATTTTCCCTAAAGATGTGAAGTTTTAATATATAAGAATTTAATCTTGTAAATTTATACTAAAAATAGCCACCGTTTGGCAGCCTTCAAGCAGCTAGCTGTGTTGTACCATACAGGAAGTGTCGATTTCTTCTACGCAATTTAGATGCAGTATAGATTGTTAGTAGCCTGAGGAACATATGCATAATATAATTAACTTTTTAATGAAATGACATTACTATTAAATTAATGGCTTAATAGATCTCATTATTATTATTTTTTTTAAAAAATCCTCTGAACACTAATTGTAATATAAAACCCAAAGGAAAATATTGCCTAATTACAATGTCTTAATTGTACGACTAAATATTAAGATGGCTACAAATTATCATAGCTTGTTAGCTGTAAACAATTTCCAGCCGTCTTCGTGGGAGGAGGTCAAAGCCTGATTCAGCTTCTTCCGAAGCTGCTTCACGCCAACCTCACACTCCCTCTTGGGCGCTGCTGCCTGCTTGTCCCCCCCCCCTCGCTGGGGAGTGATGCGTTGGGCTGTATGTTGCCCAAACTGTCAAAAGTGGCCGTCGCTCGCTTCGCACGATCGCGAAACGCTTCAGTCCTCCATCTTAGCTCGACCGGAAGGCAAACTTTTACAGAAAAGTTTTTAACTGGCCCAATGAAACGAAAATTTTATTAGGTACTCTATTTGAATTTCAGCTTGCCAAAGCCCATATTTTAACTCGCAATCTACATAACATTTTACATATCTAAATAAGCTATTTTCTAATTTGCTAAATTGACTGTGGATGTAATGCTAAGGGGTCAAAACATTCCATCTCCATTTACAAAACACCAGAAGTTTCTCTGCAAGGACGAATAACTCCTATTACTTTGACCAGTTCAATATAACGAACATGTGAGAAACAAACTGATAGATTTTCAACATGAGGAGGGGAACAAAATTTGAGCTGACAGCTGGAACAAGCTGGACCCAATTAAGATCTGCTAACAAACCAACCAACCAGCCAACCAACCAACCCCCGCCCCAGGTCAAGGCTTCAATTCAGCTCTAATAAATAGAAAGCAGGATAACTTTCTGTTGGTATCTAACTCTTCCATGTGCAAATCAGGAGTATATGTGCATATGTTTACTGTTATATATAATGTAATAAAAGTAATTCTTTGTCTTGAAGAAGAAAAAAATCAGATGGAGAGAATACACAGAAGAGCTGTACACTAGTAGCAAAGAAGCCCAAGCTCATGATACCAAGGAAAGGGGAGAAAGAACCAGCCACCCTTGAGGAATAGATAATGTGGGCAATAAGCCAAGTACGAAGCAACAAGGCTGCAGGTATTGACACCATATCCACAGAATTGCTGAGGCCTGTACCATCTGCAATCATCAAAGCCCTGTGGCAGAAAATTTGGCAAACCAACACATGGCCAAGGGACTGGAAATGCTCACTGTTCATTCCACTACCAAAAAAGGGAGACTCCAAAGACTGCTCCAATTATTGCACAATCGCTCTCATCCCTCACATTAGCAAAATTCTGCTTAAAATTATACACCAACACCTGGCACCAACCACTGAAAGGGAATTACCAGATGGCCAAACCAGCTTCTGAAGAGGGCATGGCACTCATCATGACCATATAGCAAATTTGCATTGGATCACGGAGAAATCTCATGAGTATCAAAAGATTATCTACTTATGCTTCATCGATTACAAGAAAGCCTTTGACTGTATTGATCATGACAAACTGTGGAGAGCCCTAAAAGACCTGGGGGTGCCAGTACATCTGGTCAAGTTGATACAATCATTGTACACAAGCGAGGAAGCCACTGTGCAAACACCATATGGAGATACTGATTGGTTCAAGATAGAGAAAGAAGTACAACAGGGTCGCATTCTTTCACCTTTCCTATTCAACCTGTATGTCAAAACAATCATGAGGAAGTTAGAGCTGGAAGAGTAAAAAATCAGGGTAAAGATTGGAGGAAGGAATATCAACAATCTTCGATATGCTGGCGACACAGCCCTCTTTTCGGAAACTAAAGGAGACCTGGAATACCTGATCAAGAAAATCAAAAAGGAAAGTGAGAAGTTTCCTAAACATCAAAAAGACCAAGTTCATGACCACCAAGAAGAAGAGAAACATCAAAATAACAGTTGACAATGCAGAGATCGAATGTGTGGAGGAATTCACTTTCTTAGGATCACAGATCAACCAAAACAGTGAATGCAATCCAGAAATAAAACGTTGAATCACGCTGGGTCACACGGCAATGATGAGCATGAATTGAACATGAAAGAGTGAGGACATCAGCCTAGCAACCAAATGCAGATTAGTCTATGCTAATATGTTCCCCATAGCAACCTATGGCTGTGAAAGTTGGACCATGAAGAAGCAAGACAGGAGGAAAATTGACTAATTTGAGCTGTGGTGCTAGAGAAGGCTCCTGCGCATTCTTTGGACAGCAAAGGTGACAAACAAGCAAGTACTGGAGCACATAAAACCAGACATGTCATTGGAAGGAAAAATCATAAAACTGCGACTGACTTATTTCGGCTATGACATGCAGAAGAACTCACTAGAAAAGGTAATTATGCTTGGATTGGTTAGTGGCAAAAGGAAACCAGGCTGCCAAAGAACACAGTGGCTAGACACCATAAAAAACGACACCAGCCTGAGCATGGAACAACTCAAAGAAGCAGTACAAGATTAGAAAACACGGAGAGAATCGCCAGGAGTCGGACATGACTGAATGGCTAACTACAACAATGACACAAGCCATATTAGTAACCAGTATCTAGGAACAGCAGCAGCTGATGAGCATGATGACATTTTAGGTACTATTACCTCTAAAAGGACTGACATATCTTGAAATATTATAACAAATACACACCATCTCTTTTAAAATATGTGAAAGCTAGTGCAGTCTCCTCAGAGTATTCTCTAGGTACCCACCGGGGAGTTTCTCTTAGGAATTTAAAAAATCTTGGGGGAAAGTTCTCTGATTTAGCTTCTAGTCCTGAAAAGTTCTTAGGTACATATCCTTAACATGATTTTTTTTTTTGCTTTCAGTGCCTATCAATTAATTTTTATTAGAAAAACTGACTTACTTAATATACTTCTAAGGCATCTTTCACATTGCCTTTAAAATCCAGTTGCATTACCCAATGTTAGTGTTTTTTTCTTGTATTTTCTTGTATACAGACATCCCACGGCCATCTCATTTCTTCCCAATTTTCCCCCATTCCTAATAAAACTGGTTTCTTGCACTTTTTCCCCTAAGTGAAATGTATTTGCAACAAAGCCTCTGCTTGAATCTGAACTAAGTTTTTCACATTGGTGACTTCCAGCACAACCTGCCTGCCAAAACCCACCCCAAAAGGGTGGGCAAGTTTGGGTGTGCTTTTTTTAATTGCATCCCAGTGCTGAAATGTTTCAGCAATGTAAGGTGACTGTTTTGAAACAAGCAGTCATTCTCGTTGGGGGTTACCTTCCTCTTAGCTTTGCCTTGTGAGCATGTGTGTGTCTGGTCTGGTCAGTCTGGTCTCCTGTCTTTGCCTCTCTCTCCAAGCCTGGGAAAGTTGTGCTTATGTCCCCCTCTTGCTTTACATGAAAGTACACATACTATGGTGCTACTCTCATGCAAAATCCACCAAATTGTCTCTTGACCCTTCATACCTTTCTCCCCAGTTGCGAAAACCCTTCTTCTTTATGTTACATTCTTTTAATGTTTTCAGTTTTAAAACATCAGGGGCCAAGTGACTGAGCAAATGAGTTAACTTTTGTGCTTCAGAGTTGCTGTTTGAGAGCCTACTGCACTTTGCATAAGAGTAAATGGGGCTATTCGCATGTAAGGAAGGTGGAGCAAATGGGGCTGCTGAAATGCTGAAATACTGAAATGCTTCAGTGACTGCCCTGCACAAAAAAACAAACAAACCAGAACTGATGGAACTCCGGAGGGGGAGGGGGAGTCTGAACTAATCTCACCAATAGCACAATCATCAGAAGTGGCACAACACACACAAAAATGAGAAAGGCGACTGCAATCTGAAACCCCCCTAAGACTATGCCAAATTGAAATTATTTTAAAATAACAGTGAAAATCACAGTTAAAATTTAAGCTTCTCTCTCTCTCTCTCTCTCTCTC